GCGTTCCGACCGCTCGATGCAGCGGCAGCCGCCACCCGCGGCTTCGTCACCCGCCGCGGAGCGCAGCTCGTCTTTGGTGCGCAAGAGCCGCGTGCATGCGACTCATACGCACGGGTTGTGAGCCAGGCCCATTGCATAGTTGCCGTGCATTTCAAATCAGTGGGCTGCCCCAGGCTGATGCGTCTGCTCTCTCACAATGTGCTGCAGGGGCGGGCAAAGTATCACAGTCGTTTGGGCCCTGTCAATGCTGCCCACGGCGCTCCTAATTTGCACTGACTGCTTGATCAACATCGCAACCCCTTGTGCTGCAGATGACAAACCCTTCTACTTCATTGGTGAGCACTAGTGGCTGATGTTGCCGCCAGATTACGGACGGAGGTCTTTGCATGGCCAGCAATGAACAGCATTGCGCCAGTCAGACATTCTTACACATGCCAGCAAACCTTTGCTGGCAGCAGCGCACGCCCACAAATTGGCCCCCACAACCACGCCGCAGGGATGAACTGCTACTGGTTTATAGGTGACCGATCAGCAATGCCCTCAAGGTCTTGATTGTTTAATTGCTCACATGGTGCCCTGAGCTGCTGGATGCGTGCTTTCCAGTGTGCCAACACACATGAATACCATACCTCCTCGTGTGGAAGGCGTTCAGCCCCTTTCCTCGACATTGCTGTGATTCGCAGACCTGTACGACGAGAACTGGGGCCGTCAGCGGATTGAGGAAACCCTGGATGCCGCACAGGTGTCAGGAAGTGCACGGCCGCCAGGGCGGCGCCGGCTTGTTGTGCCCACTGGCCCCTGAAATGCTTGCACCACCTGCCAAGTCGCTGCGTATAGCTGGTCCCGCCTGGATCGGGGTCCTGCACAGATTGTTGCTCACATGGCTCTAACATCACTGTGCCGAGTCACAATTCCTGACAAGCGGCGTTGATGCATGCACACGCACGTGAACAACCCCTTGAGCGCAGCGGCTGGGGATCAGCGTGATTCGCACCTGGGGTTTCAACGACGGGCTGCCCAAGCGGCGCTTTGTCTATGACGCCCGGCAGCTGGCCGGCCTCGACTGGACGGTGCGTCACACAGGGGTGGGGGATTAACCCCCCCCCCTCTTCGCCGCGCCGTACAGGGCAGCAAAGCTTGGTTGGAACGGCGTGCACTTAGGGGGACGGGCTGCTGATCGCCTACCCTGGACGCTTGACAAAACAAGCGGATGTGACAGCACCTCCCGCCGTTTCGCTCCTGCTGGGATAGACGCCTTTTGCCTTGGAGTTTTGGCACTGATGAGCAACGCTGCCCCAGTGAGCAGCCCAGAACGCCACCCACCACGCGCACCGCAGGTGTACGCCGCCAAGCGGCGCGGCATCCGCCTACTCCTGGCAATCGGCAACCTGTGGGCCGCATACAAGGGGCCTGAGGAGTTCTTAGCGCAGGCCACGGGGAGCGCAGGTGTGGGGCGACGGGCAGGTCGAGTGATGGAGCATGGTGTGCCACTGTGGCTGACTCCAGCGTGTGGGTTGCGGTTTGCAGGCTGTGGGGGTGAGCTTGGGTGCTGCATGGTCCGCCGTCCCCTTGCTTGAGGGCCTGGATGGCTGTTGTTGGGGCTCTTGAACTCAACACACACACACACACACACACACACACACACACACACACACACACACACACACACAGCTGCATAAGCAATGCTGGTGTGACGGCATCATCCCCCCCTACGCCATGCTGCACGTTGATTGTGACGTCCTCCACTCATTCACATTCCGTCTCAAACCCTGCGTGCAGTCTCGAAGGACGTCCTGGATTTCTACACTGACCCCCGCGCCCTCACTCTCTTCAAACACCACATCTGGGTGCTGGTAAGCCGCACACTCGCCTGCGTGCGCCACGACAGTGCTGATGCGTTCCAGCCGCATGGGGCCTCGGCATCATCACGCTTCACAGCCACCAGCAGAGACAAGGGGGGTTGAATGTAGCCGTTCGGAAGCAAGAAAAGCCTGCCAAGGTCACCAACCGCCTTCTGACATTCACAAGATACCCTGCCATTCACAAGTGACCCTGCTCAACGCGCTTCGCGTGCAGACGTCGCGCGTCAACCCATACACCGGCGTGGCCTACAAGGACGAGCCGGCCATCCTGGGGTGGTCCCTCTTCAACGAGCCACGCTGCCCGGGTGCGCTGTGGTTGGAGGCACGCGGTTGCACCCTTCACAAGCCAGTGCACTACTCAGACATGATCACTCTGCGCGCTGCACCCGTAGGGCTGCTCCAAAGCTTTGTTGGAGCGGCTGCCCAAGCTTCATATGGCTTGTGCCCTGGCGAGTTCGAAATTGCAGTAGCCCACCTCACTTCCTCGCTCATTTCCACGCCCACCTGCCGCCTCAGGCTGCATGCAGCCGGCTCAGCAGGCGGCCCACAAGTCTTGGCTGCGTCAGGCGGCCGCGTTCCTGCGCCGTGTGGACCCGCTGCACCTCATCAGCGCAGCAACAGAGGGCTTCTTTGTCCGCAACGACACCACTAACTATCACCTCTACAACCCTGGTGCGCTGCCTTGCTGCTTTGGTCTGTTTACCCATGCAGGCGCTCAGGCTTAAATCTTGCGGGCAGCCGAAAGGAAAGCATAGGGTAGAGATACCACGCTGTTGAGAGGTTGTGGCAGCTGTTTGCATGACGTGTCAGCATTCTTCAAATGCTGGAGTCTGCATCCAGCAGCTCCTGTGAAGACAGGAAGGCTTGGTCATCCCCTGTTTGAGGCACCTCTTGTGTGGGTGGCTGTCGGTTGACCGCAGGACCTGGCACGCAGTGTGATGGGGAGGACTGGCTGGCGATCAACGCACTGCCAGAGGTGGGGTGCAGCCAGCCAGCCACCCGCAGATCAAGGGCTCTGCATGGAGTGTGAGGGGCCTCCCCGGGCCTGGCATGCGGGTAGCCGCCGGGGGCCGCCATCAGCAAGCTGTCAGCCGGCAACGCTGGCTGGCAGTCTGCATATGATTGGGTTGTCCTACCCGAGCGAGCAGTGAGGCCAATGTTCACCTTCGAAAACGCCCCCTTCTCTGACTCTGCCTTGATGCAATCCCCCAGTTTGACTTTGCCTCTGTTCACGTTTATGAGCGCCACTTGGAGCTGCGACCAAAGGTATGCAGCCTGCGGCAGGGGCTGTGGAAGAATGAGGACAGCGGTGTTTACTTGGTTTGCATGTCTGCATTTGTCTGTGTTGCTGGTGTTGGCAATCTACATGGGCGTCCAACACGCCAGCACCTATATCATCCCGTTTGTGCAGCCGACAGACCAGCCAAACGGTGGCGACTGGCCAGCCTGGAACTTCTGCGGCTTTGACTGCTATATTGAGTGGTGAGGATCATTGCAAGGCTGTGCTCAGCCTCGGTGTCCGCTGATTAGAATGTATTGCATGCGCACAGCACTGAGCCCGCTCAAAGCTTGCTTGGTCAAACTTGCTGCGTTCCCAGCACAGAGGGTGTGCATCAGCAGCAATGCATGACACAGACGCCCTTGTCGCTGACACATGTGACACATGGGGTCTGTTCAGGAGCTCGGATTTCCTTCACGCGGCCTGCAACCCCCAGGTTCAAGGTATACATGGGCCTGCACATCCAGCTGGCCGCCTCGCCCCTGGGCAAGCCCCTGGTCATGGAGGAGTTTGGCTCCACATGGTGGTGAGGGCCCCAGGCATGCATGCATGCACGCACCTGCCTGCCTGCCTGCCTGTCTGCCTGCATGCCTGCCTGCCTGCCTGCCTGCTTGCCTGCCTGCCTGCCTGCCTGCCTGCCTTCTCAGCAGCTGCTGCGTTATTGAGTGGCCAGAGAAGCCCCTGGTTCCGCCTGATCTAGATCCAGTTTGCACCACCCCGTTGAAAAACAAAATGAGCTGGTGCTGCCGGCATCAGATAGAGCTGACATTGACAGCGATTGACTGTCTCTGAGTGGCAGGTTCGGTGGGTCATTTTCCAACCTGTGCTGCACCCACGTGTGCAGGAAAGCGAGCCCTGAGGACCAGAAGCTGCTCTTCAAGGTGAGACACACTGAGTCACTGGCCCGAGTACTTGTCGCTGGCAAGTGGGTGTGCTGACGTGTTGGAGCGAAACACCTTGCCCTGCACTACTTGACCAACTCGTGGTAAAACGACAGCCGACATGCTCATTGCTCGTGCAGTTGACCTTTGACTGGGTCGCGCAGCAGCAGCGCACCGGCGGCCCGCTGGCGGGTGCCATGTTTTGGAACGGTGAGCGCGGGTTTCTGGAGACTAGAGTCTGGTGCTGCACTTTGCCGCAGCCAAGATCTCCCCTTTTCACGATGACCCTTCACACAAACAGAAGCTGTATGTGCTGCGCGCACACTCAAAATAATCCAACAGGTCGCCTGCATTGCTGGTACTGCCTGAACTCTGACAAACCTGCACGACCACAGGTGCACACAATGACAGCGGCGACTACGACGGCTACAACGTGTACATCGACCGCCCAGCCTCCACCCTCCCCGCCTCTCACCTCCCGCCGCCCCCGGCCGCCTGGCTCGCGTCACCCCCCATGCTGAGCCCTGAGACAGCCAAGGCTCAGGTTGACGCCGCCACCACATTTTACACGCAGCTGGGGCAGCCTCCGCCCCCCAACGATGTGGTGTTCCCGCCCACGGCGCTGCCCGCTGATCTGGCTGATCTCGCCGCCGCCTTGAACGCCCTGCCGCCGCCGCCGCCAGTCATCGCGACGCCGGCGGCTGCTGTGCTCAAGCTGAACGCAACCAACGCAAGCCAGACCCTCGCGGCTAAGCCCTTGCCCGGCGCGCTGGCAGCAGTGCCTGTACCAGCGACGGCCCTTCCAAAGGGGTCAGTTCCCAGCCTTTTTTCAGCAGCTGCTGTGCCAGCCACCGCTGCGCTCCTGCCTGCTGCTGCGAGCCCTGTCACAGTGCCAGCCGGCCCCGCCTCGGCAGTGGAAGCGCCGGCGGCTGGGGCCGTTGCGGGCTCGGCCGGCGGCACCGCCTCTGCTGGGGCGCCGGCCCTGCCGCCGCCCGCCGCAGGCGCAGCAGCGGCTCCTGCGCTGCAGGGCGCCACTCCTGCACAAACGGCGCCCGCGCCGCTGCCAGGCGCAGCTGCCGTCCCGCTGCCGCCGGCTTCAGGCCGCCGGCGGCTGTCGGCAGCGCCAGGCGTGAGCGCGCTGATGCATCATGCCCATGGGACCGTCGGCTCAGCAGGCGCTGTGCGGCGCCGCAGCCTGCTGGTGGTGGAAGATCAGCTGGATGCATTCAGGTGATGGCTGCTCTGCCTCAAAGCACTGCAGCTTGGGGTACCTGAATAACTCTGGCTTATCGAGGGCTCGCCTGCTTTTTGCTGGCAACAATTGGGGGCTGTGTTGAGCCCTTGATTAGTTCTTGTGAGGCATCTAATCGCAAACCCCCTGCTGCCCTAGCCACTTGAGTAATCAAAGCTGCCCACGCAGGCCGACACCCTCGCCCCTCGTCAACGGCTACTGCGCGTGTGAACCCCCTCTCCTCCCATGCCCCCCCCCCCGGGCCCTGCGAACTCGCAGGCGTGGCGGCTGGCGCGCCGCGTGCGCCGAGGAGGCTGCGAAGACCTGGCGCCCCTACAGGCTGTTCAACCTGACAGACACGGTCTCTGGCGACGCGGCCCTGCAGGCGGCCAGGGGCAGGACCGTCGTCGCCGTGATCAGCGAGGGGACGGCGGCGCTCAACCAGGGCCGCGACGGCGCCCCCGTGGCGGCGGCCGGGCCGGCGCCGGCGCCGGCGCCGGCGCAGGCGGCGGGAGGGCCTGGGGCGGGTGCGCAGGCCGGGGCCCAAGCGGCCGGGGCTTGACGGGGCGGTCTGTTTGGGCGGATTGGGCGGCGGCGCTGGCAAAAGCTCGGATGAAGGCCTGCTGCGTGCGTGGAAGCGGCTTGCTGGCTGCCTGCAGAATAAGACACAAGACGAAGAGTTGAGCGTGATTCCCTTGAAACGCGTGCTTCGAGCATTTGCGCCTGCCACTGCTGGTTTTCAAACGCGCGTGCGGTGCGCTAGCGGCTGCCGTGCCGCTGTCGGCGAGCGTTGTTGACTTGATTAATTCGAAGTTCATGCGCCTTCAAAAGGTCCACGTGTTACAGCGGTGCACAAGGACGGCCAGGGGTACACAGGCAGGCCGGCAGCATGGCCGCATGGCGCAGCCTCATAGTCTGGTTCATCTCAACTACACGGCGAGCTGCTCTGTGGCGGGGCCTGTACGCAAGCGTGGGCGCAATCGACCCCCTGCCCGGCACGAGCAATCGCAAGCATGCAGGAAGTCACATGGATTCTCTCCAAAAACAGGCGTGTGAGCGGGGCGGCACGCAGCCGTCGCATCAACAATCATGCAGGCGTACTGCAGCCCAAAGTCCATGGGAATTGGCGGCACATGCACGCACTTGATTATGGCAGTGTGGCGTAAGTCATGGCCAAGATTTATCGGGTCGCCATGCATTGCAGGAAGCAGCGGAGCGTCGTTGTCGGTCGACGCCCCGCTTGATCAGCAGGTGCCACCGTAATGTGCATGTATCGTGTCCCCTGGTGTGAGGAGTGCTGTTTGGGCTGCATCAGGTTCCAAGCGGCTGCACAACTGGCCGGTCTTGCGGCGCATGCTCTCAGCTGCAGCCCACGGGTTGGCGGAGCCGGGCTGGCGAGCGTGCTTGAGTTGAGACAAGGTCAGCACGCCGCCACAACGCGGTCCAAATGAGATCACTCGATTTCAGCGGGAGAGAGAAATGCCAGAAGCCCCTCGCAGCATTTTTGGTTGGCTCATGGTCAGGAAGGAAGAGAGGCACACATGCGATCATCGGTACAAGTGCGATCATCGGCCGGGCACAACAAATTGGAAGCCCAAAGGTCAGACGGTGCCATGTGGGTGTCGAAGGGAGTGGGTGTCGAAACAATGCCTCCACGCGCATGGCATTGGAGCACACAGCGCGCTGCCTCAACCCCCAGGTGTAACCACCCGCGCGAACCGCGCGTGCCCGTGCCCCTAGCCTGACGTTGACAGCGGCGGCCGCGCGAGCGGGCTGCCGCTCACTCCTGCCGGGCCGGGCCGCGCCCACGGCGGCGCGCCGCCTCCGCCAGGCCTGACTGGGGATATCTCCTCGTCAGCCGACGCCCCTGCCGGCGGCAGAGACCGCCGCCCCAGGGGCGGCGCCCCTGCAATATCAGGGGCAGCCCGGCTGAAGCTGACCCGCGAGCGCTGCACCATGTCGGGTGACGCGTCCCTGCTCCCCTCGTCGCCGCCGCTGAGCGCAGCCGCCGCGCCGCGCGAAGGCCGGTCCCGCCGCGGCGTCCAGTCGGGGGGCGTGGCCGTGAGCGAGGGGGGGAGGTGGTAGTGGGGCGGGGCGCCCTGCAGCATGCTGCGCCCGATGCTTCCAATGTCGAAGTCCGCCTGCGGCGCCGACGACAGCAGCGCATGCCCCAACCCACTGCCGCCGCTGCCACCGCTGCCACCGCCGCCACCGCCGCCGCCGCCGCCGCCGCCGCTGCGGCCCGTAGGCACCC